GACAGAGCAGCCATCAAGTGTTAGACAGTGTTCTAGGTTATTACATGCGGAGGGTTTACGTCCTATAATTAACACCTCTGTTTTTTCAGAATTTAGCAGTACGAAATTACTCGTCATCCTGTTTTTTATATCGACTTTGCATTCTGTTAGTTTTGCAAATTGGTATGTTTCGCCGGGCTGTGAAGAAATATAGAGCTGAGTATCATCAGCATAACAGTGAAAGCTCACACCATGTTTCCTGATGATATCTCCCAAGGGTAACATGTAAAGCGTGAAGAGTAACGGCCCTAGTACTGAGCCTTGAGGTACTCCATACTGCACTTGTGATCAATATGATACCTCTTCATTCACTGCTATGAACTGATGGCGGTAAGATAAGTACGATATGAACCATGCTAATGCACTTCCATTAATGCCAACAAAATTTTCTAGTCTATTCAAAAGAATGTTGTGGTCAATAGTGTCGAACGCAGCGCTAAGATCCAGCAGCACTAATAGAGAGATACAACCACGATCAGATGATAAGAGCAGGTCATTTGTAACTCTAATGAGAGCAGTCTCACTACTATGATACGGTCTAAATCCTGACTGGAAATCCTCACAGATACCATTTTTCTCTAAGAAGGAATATAATTGTGAAGATGCTGCCTTTTCTAGTATTTTTGACAGAAAAGGGAGATTTGAGATCAGTCTATAATTAACTAATTCTCTAGGATGAAGTTGTTTTTTTAACAAGAGGCTTAATTACAGCCAGTTTGAAGGTTTTTGGGACATATCCTGATTGAAGAGAGACACTTTTGGAAGTGAGCTGAACTGAATGCTGACATCACTGAATCATCAATGAACTGACTTCAGGAAAAAATGACTGTTGTCCTCTTGCATTATTGAAACTATTTTCCTGTTGACACTGTAAAGCTCCTTTGACACAGTCAATATTGTATAAAGCGCTATATAAATAAAGGTAAAAAAATATATCCTAATGACAATTGACAAATTAATAATATTCAGAAGAGGATCTATGACTTCTGGAAGCACCTCTTTAAGTAGCTTAGATTGAATAGGATCTATTGTTCAAGCAGGTTTTGATGAGAGAATGAGTGGAGTTGTTTCTCAGGGGATCTATAGCACACTATCTGATGTGATACTGTAGCGGACTACAGGAATCAGCATCAAACAAATAAGAGAACTCAATTTCCATATTTGATGGATGTGATTGATGTGAGCCGGGTTTAGACCATCATGAGACAGGTTCGTTTTAGTCGCCCGCCCCACTCTCCACTACATATTTGGTTCACAACATTATTTCTATAAATATATCTATAAATGTCATTTTTACTTAAATGACCCCAAATAAAAAAAATTAAAAAAATAAACTAAACAGACTGGTTTCATAGCTCCTAGAAGAGAGTTTGTTTAATCTGATGGTGGAAAGGCATTGGTCAACGAACTATCTTCAAGGTTATGAGTAACACGCAGCAAAAACTTCATTTTTGTGATCAAAACACGGGTGTTGAGCTCATGCTGCTGTTGCGTTTACCCTCACACACATTCACCACAGTAGTTACTAGTTATTAGCCATCCTTTTCATAAACATTCCAATGATGGAGAAATCAAAGAGATTCTGAAAAAGACTCTTAGACAGTTTGAATCATTTATCATATTTATTTGTTATGATCCGAGTGTAGTAATTCTTATTTTAGAGGAAACTTTCATTATTGTGGTATAGAGTTCTGTAAGGGTGGTGCCTTGGAAATCTGACCAGCTATTGACCATATATACACAATCATCTTCCAATAAGTGTGTCAATACAAGACCGTAATAAAGCGTGACATTTAGATGACACTGAAACTCATTCAAGCACAAGCTCAGCTCAAGAATGAGAGCGTTGTATTGAAACAGTCAAACACATGAACAACGCACTGTGACGTAAGGCAACTATGATTGAAGTTTTCCCAGCAAAAAAATCTATTTTTACCCATATATGGCTTAAATTGATTCCACGATTATTAAAGTATTGTAAATAATAAATGAATCAGTAAGGGGTGAAAAACAACAGCGAACAGCTCAAAGCCCTTTGATATGTGACTCTATGGCTACTGAAAATGTGTTTAGTGAAGTCCAGTTTGGTCATCTTAGTACATTAATCAAATCAAAACAAACTAGTCAGTATAAATTCAAGAGGATTAAATTAGAAAAAAAACATTTAATAACAGAACAAACACTGATCTGCTGCCATTTCAACAAATCTGCAGATAATGAGAACCTGATTTACTGAAGCGTTTGTCACGGAGTCAGCATCAGCTCCAGCGTCGGTCGAGTCTCTCGTGCACCGGGCTCATCTGGCATCCAAGCGCATGGACTATTTCCACAAGTGCTAAAGGGTTTAGTTACTCTGACCGAATCAGATGAATTCAACGCTGCATACGATCACACCTGAATCCTCTCACGCAGTTATTGAGTTAGTTCTGCTCTGAAGCGGACGATCCTCTCCTGAAACGACATTCGGTTCCACAAAGATCTATGACTAGAACCGACACCGACACCTCCAGCAGCTAAACCTCAGTCTGTCCATCTGAACCTCCTTCAGTCAAAGAGAACACGTTCACACACATTCAGAACACAAGTCATGATTGACAGAAGAATTAAAACCCCTAAAGGAAAAGCTAAAACCACTTAAAACCGTGACTCTCTCTCGCTCGACTTCCCTCACAACGCACCGATGGTCTCTATTCCTTTCAGGACGTCGTAGATCTCTTTGAGCAGGATAACGTAGCTGTCTCCCGGCGCCGCGTCCCTCTGGACCTTGCTCATGGCTCTGAAGCGCTCCAGCTGCCTCTCCTGCCACCTGCACTTCTGCTGCACCGTCTTCAGTCTCTTGCGCAGCTTCTCCATCTGCTCCTGCAGCTGCTCGATGCGTCTCTTCTGCTGCAGCGTGTCCTCCACCATGTAGTTGTGGTCGCAGGAGACGAAGGAGCTGGTGTGGAGGAGCGGAGCGGGCTCGGCTTCAGACGGACACACCGCTGCATCAGACAGCGGCAGGCTCAGAGGAAAGGCCAAGTCTGCGCTGAAGCTCTCCTCCAGAGACGCTGCCTGAGAACAACCCAGAGCAAATGGTCAGCTTTACAGGGCTCATATTAGAGCTGGGCAAAAAACTGAAATCTCGACTTTTTCAGAACGTTTGACCAATTCTTGATTTCTACAATTTTAACTACCCTAGAGAAAAATCAATATACTAAAATGCATTTGAAATACATTTATTTCATGCCAAGTATTCTACAAATACATTTACTTATTCATGTACTTGATAAAAATACCCTGCAATTGTACTTTTAGAATACTAAACTGGTATACTTCAAGTGTGATAAATTGGAACAACTAATTTTGTACTTAATGCACTTTAATAATGCTGAAGTAGTGCTGAGGTCCGACTACAGATATACTGAAGTATATCAGATTGTGCTAAAGTGGAACTATTGCAAGTATGCTTCAGGTACACTTTAAATATCTTGACTGATTTTATTCAAAGATCATACAATCCTAATCAATAGTGACATTAAAACACATTTTAGGCTTAATATTAAGAAATGTGCATTGTGCACAAGTGATACTAAAATAAAGTTTAATTATAATTTTTTATATCAGTAAGTCTCGGGTTGTCTGTCAGTAAATATGTTAATAGATTTGAACTATACTTAGTATGAAATAAATGTGTTTTAAATATATGACTTTTTTTACTAGGGTAGTCAACTTGAAAATGTATCTACAACATGAATCAAGTAACTTTTTCTTTATTAACCTAACTACAGAAAATTCTATTCCGGGTGCATCACACAATGAGTTGTCAACATGATGTAAATGTTATTCTTTGCAGAAAAGATGCATGAAATACCACTACATCTTGTACAAACTTGTCTTATGCATATTATATGCTCAGAAATAATATGAGGAAAATGCTTTAAAAAAAAGGTAATTCAAACTCAAAATGACTGAAGGTATAACACCAGCAGACTATTATGAACTATAGAAGTTCTGTAAAAACAATGAACAGCAGCTTTCAGTCTGTCACCGTGATGCACACATGAAATATCAGGTTTCTTTATTCGATTGCGCTGCTTTTCCATTGTTTTCCGCATTTGATTGTTGTGCTCGCGTCTTAATGCATGAAACAGTAGTCTAAATACATGCAGCGCTCAATTTAACAGAAGTTCACTCCCAAGTTTTCCAGTTCCACTGCTCGCGTCTTTGTCAACACAAAACTGCATTCTGTGTGAATGGCTCCTACCGATATGAGTTTTTCCTATTTAATACTGTGAAGCTGCTTTGACACAATCTGTATTGTTAATAAATAAATAAATAAAGGTGACTTGCATCACATCACGTGCGCCGACACGCGGTTGGGTCGTTCTTTTCTCTTTACTGTTATCATTGGCATATTGCCAAAGTGTCTAATTCTAACGTTTGGTAATATTTCTATATTTAAAATTGCGATTCCTCGATTTATAAAAAATAAAACCGTGACAAAACATTAAATTCAAATTAATCAAAATCATAAAAGTCTCCCAGCTCTAACTCACATGATGGGAAATCGAAGGCCGAATGGAGTGCTTGATGCAGACCTGCGCTCACAGCATTTGGGACAGGGCCGTGTTTTACCTGATCTTTGGAAAAATGAGAGTTTGAAACATTCTCTAACTTTCACAACGCCCCGTCTCCAGTCCATCCGTCTCAAATAACCCAATCACAGCAGTTCAATGCTAAACTCCAATAACTCAAACCACACTCTATCATTGCTGTTTACGTTTCAAATGCATCCCGGGTAAAAGTGAAAGACGTCTGCTCATCTGACACCCAACCCTTGCACTGAAACAACTGTTTTACACCAGTTATACCAGCTGGGAAAGACATTAATGAGTCCATTAACCCAAAAAATAAACTCATTAACTGGCAAACTCACTATTGTTTACTTGTGAGACTCACTTTGAGCTGTGCTTGGCTGGACGTTACAGACATCAAATAAGAGCAATGAGTCTGAATATCTGTCAGAACCAATGAGATTCGAGGAGGAGGAGACCGTTTTACTGAAATCTTCCAATGGATCGTATGACTTCAGGAAACTGTAGATATACTGTATTGGGCACAAGTGCTACAGGTCACTTTAATGATCCATTCTGGAGCTTTTCTGGAGCCCATATTGGATCATTTCTGATAATCTTCTGATAATAGATTATCAGGAAAAAATATAAATGTACTGAAATGATAAAACAACACCTTTAAATGCTCATTAAAGTTAGTTCAGGTGTTATCTGTGCGCAGTAGGGATGGGATGATTCCCAGATTTGCTCGCTGCTTCGGCATTAACATGTTAACAACGCGATGCATCAATTTAAAAAGTGTGCATCGGATACAAGTTGGCATTTATATCGCGATGCATCGTTTCTAACACATTTGCTTCGGTAAAAAAAAAAATGATTAGTGGATGTGCTATACTTTTATTGTTTAGAAAGTGACTAATATTTTATGTGTAGGTTGATTTCTCGTCTCTAAACTGTTTCTCAAGCGCTCTCTCTCATCACTGCTTCTGTGTGAATAAGACGCATCACAACACGACGGAGACCGAGGAAAAGCAGGGATTCAAACCTTAATGTCGATCGTGGTTCAATCTTAATGATCCATTCTGGAGCTTTTCTGGAGCCCATATTGGATCATTTCTGATAATCTTCTGATAATAGATTATCAGGAAAAAATATAAATGTACTGAAATGATAAAACAACACCTTTAAATGCTCATTAAAGTTAGTTCAGGTGTTATCTGTGCGCAGTAGGGATGGGATGATTCCCAGATTTGCTCGCTGCTTCGGCATTAACATGTTAACAACGCGATGCATCAATTTAAAAAGTGTGCATCGGATACAAGTTGGCATTTATATCGCGATGCATCGTTTCTAACACATTTGCTTCGGTAAAAAAAAAAATGATTAGTGGATGTGCTATACTTTTATTGTTTAGAAAGTGACTAATATTTTGTGTAGGTTGATTTCTCGTCTCTAAACTGTTTCTCAAGCGCTCTCTCTCATCACTGCTTCTGTGTGAATAAGACGCATCACAACACGACGGAGACCGAGGAAAAGCAGGGATTCAAACCTTAATGTCGATCGTGGTTCAATCGATCCACCATAGCAAATATATCTGTGCTGTTTAATGCATTTGAGACGTTGTGTTTTCCTCAGTGCATAACTGACGTCACAGGTATATTCTTCATCTGTGAATGTTAGAAAGGCACGCAAACATACCCATTTTGCTGTCAGGAGCGGACGAGTGCTGCTGAACGCTAAACAGACGGAGCGCCACAGAATAATAGCGCAATGATTCTGAGTAAAATATGCAGTTTGCTAAAATATTTGTTGATGGACATTAAATGTGCCTTTTGTAGAAGTTTAAACCTACATATAAGTGTATTTTTATGATAGCACTGACTGTAAAGGGAGTATTGCAATGAGTAAATCAAATGTAAGCTAATACAGTCTTAATTACTAAGCTCAAATTAGTTAATGTTTCTAAAAGCAGTTTTAAATGTAGTATTTTTCTTTATTTTAATTGAGTGATTTTAATGCTTTAAAGAGCAATTTTAGATTGTAATGTTCAGCTAACTGTAAAGGTACAGCTGTCATACAAGCAGAGAAAGGCTGCATGGCTAGAATAGTGTGTTATATCAATGCGTTCCTGTTGCTCAGTGTTAGAGGAGCGCAGTTAGCCTGCTCCGGACCAGCTTAGTTATCACAGTGACTGAGCTCGATCTTTGTTAAATTTACTTTATGGAACCTAATCATGTGACAATGAGTCAGACTAACTGAAATGAGCCTGGCTTATTTGGTAAACTAGTTTTATGAAACCGGCATCGAGGCGTTAGAAGTCAGAGGACACTAAAGTTAATTTATGACTTGCTGTCTGTCTGAACCAAAGAAATAAATGTGATCATATTTTTTCCATTGCATCGTATTGCATGCAATCGCACTGTGTTGAATCGAAATCGTAATGGGGTGAACCGTATCGCATCGGCCTCAGTACTGAGATGCACATCCCTACAGTTTTTCTTTTGGCGTTTCTAGTTTGAGAGCACGACTAACACTACACTCTGTCGTGTGACGTCACGTTTAGCACACATCTGCATATCCCCCAAAGACACCAGAGCCTTGGACTGCTTCTGGCCTGGCCGTGTGAGTAAAGCAGCGGCACCTGCATCTGCAGTCTGCTGGAGGAGAAGAGCGAGGGCACGGCGTGGTCCTTCAGCACACGGTTGTTGCACTCGCGCTTGAAGCAGTCTCTGGTGAAGTGCTGAGAGCAGATGTTGCTGTACTTGCTGGGCTTGAAGTTTCTTCTCTTCATAGCGGCCAGCCATTTCCCACAGACGCCCGGCCGGGCCAGAGGAAAACTGTGCAGTTATTCACAAACACCAGATTACATCACATCCCTGATAACCTAATTCAGATAAAATAATTCAGTAAAATAAACTAATTCAGATCATCAGCAAATCACTTGATTGTCACTCAGCTATTTACCCGAAAGTAAAGGAAAGAGAGAATCTACACAGTTCTTCAGTGGAGGAGAACATACTGTACAGACGAACCGCACAGCAAGCGCTTAATACACAGGAATATAACAAACACATCATTTACACATTTACAACACGACCCAAGACGGCTAACATCTCTTCATCATGCCCACAAGCACTGTCAATATTGTTTTTAATTTATTTATTTTCCACAAAAGAAAGTCAGAAGCCACATGAGAGGAAATAAGTGAAGTCAGATGAAACTAGAGGACACAATAAAAATATCCTGCCTCAAACACATTAAAGATGACACTCCAGCTGATCTTTACTGGGAAACAGATGAAAGCCGCTGGTGTGAACTAAACTACAGCAAACTAGCACTACAGCTGATTAAGTCTAGTTTAACATGAGCAAAGCCACCAGAGAACTGTGGGAACAAAACAACAAGCTGCTCGATAGAAACACACAGCAGTGGAGCTCACTTATGAAAGGAGATGTTTTTATCTTTGTGGTATCTGTTTTTGCATCCGTAGGCCGAGCAGGACTGAACCATGTTTCCCTGCGATCTGAAATATGAAGATCAGGAATAATATTCGCTGGGAACAGGATCCCGTCGCCTGCACGTTACATGGCTGACTGAGCGAGCTCTCGTTCGGTGAGATTCGGTGAGGTTCGGTGAGGTTCGGAAAGGTTCGGGTTTCTCCAGCAGGCGGCGCTCTGCGGCTCATAAAGCATCTCACCACGGGCTCTGTCTTTCGGCAGACATTTAAACTCCCAAGTGTTATAATCTTTTACAAATATTAAGAACAGTACCTAACATACACAGGCAAATCTTCCCCAGCAATCGCTATAAAGTCATTTGTAAACGCACACATGTCCGTGATCTCAGTCGACTGTGATTGGCCGATGCTGTGCAGCGCGGAGGAAAGTAACAGAGATCAGGTGACCGCCTGCAACAGTTACACCGGATCAATGGCATTTGCCTGCTTTTTGCAACTGTAACATTTTAAAAAGAGATCATTATTATTTAGACCCATCTTACCTGACAAATTAAAGCGGAAGCTTTCCATTCATCGCTTCATGATCATTTCCATTCAACACGCTTATTTTATTTCAGTGCTTGAGCTGCGTGAGAATCCCTCGGATCTGATTGGCTGTTGACGGGAAAGGGCGTGGCCTTATATATGACGACAGCAGGAGGTCATCAGGTCACTGCTGCGATCCAAATACACGGATGACGTGATGATGCGTTTGCTGATATTTGTACATTAATATAAACCAGTGCAGGAGCTTTACATATATATTATTAATCGTGCTCCCATACACATGTGCTATTCCCTGGATATCTTTAAGTGTTGATAATTAATGGAGTGGCATAATCCAATCACAAACATGTGCTGATGTAGTGGGTCAGTGGAAGCATCTGACAGTCACACAGAGACGAGAGCATTATGAGAGTTTGAGTCCTCCGTCTCTCGCCTGTGTGAAGAAGATGAACTCCATCCTCCGCATTGGGCTTATACGGCATATATGGCCAAATATATATATGCACCACTTGTTTTCAGACCCTTCATTAATACGTCGTCAATATTTCTGCTCACTTATCTTGAAGCTATATTTCAGAAGTCAGAAAGAGCTTTATTACCAACAAGCATGTTTACACACACAAGGAATTTGACTTGGCGACAGGAAAGTACGGACAGAGCGCAAACATACACGATACGACAGACATGCGTAGTACAGAGATGGAATATAACACTAATATAAGAAAAACTGAAAATTAAATGATGCACTAGATACAGAAGTGGAAGTGGAAATTAGAGAAAAAAACATGCAATTGTTTAAATGAATGTACAGATATGTTATTGACAAGTGTACAGTTATATATGGGGGGGTAATCATTGCATATTAGTGCGTAAAAGAAGGCAGAAGTATTTTTTGTCAGCTTTCTTCATCTTATTTATTAGAAACGTTTCGTTAGATCTCACAGAACGTGAAGTCCTTATCTGTCATTGATGTTAGATTGCCTGCAGAGCACAGATGTTTCTGTGAGAGGTGCAGCTTCATCCTGAACATCCCTTGGATTGAGAGTATAACTCGCTCCAGCATCTGTCGTGTTGTGCAGAGGTGCATCACACTCTACATGTGTGTGTAAACAGGAAAAGAGACCCACAGAACAGGAAACCCGGTGAGTGTGATGCATGTGACGGATAGCAGACACTTGTTTACTCACAAGCACTGAGTGTGAGACGTGCAGCAGCTCAATCACACACTATACCTGCGTCTGCCTGACTTCTGCTGCTTCACTGAAAACATCTAGTGAGGTATGTCAGCTTTTACACTTCTGAAACAACTCGGTTTACAGTCATAACAAGCATTTCAGATTTGTGTTTCAGTGCTTTGACACAGATGTGTGTTTGTCACACTGGCAATGCAGTTTAATGCTCTCTCTCTCTCTCTCTCTCTCTCAGAGAATGAAAAATTAATTCAGTTTGTCTCATTATTACAGGTGCATCTCAAAAAATTTGAATATTGTGAAAAAGTAAAACAATTTTTGTAACTTATTTCGAAAAGTGAAACTTTTTTGAGTTTTGGATTGTTGACTTTCATGAGCTGTAAGCTCTAATCATCAAAATTAAAACAAAAAAACTTTTGAAATGTTTTACTTTACATGTAATGAATCTAGAATATATGAAAGTTTAACTTTTTCACGATATTCTAATTTCTTGAGATGCACCTGTATATGTGCATCCTGAATATAATATCCTGTTTTATCAAAGAGTTGGTTCAAATAAGAAAATGAAATTTAAGTTGTCAGTGAGTAGCTTTGTCTCTTTATTTACACGCTGTATTTCTGCCCAAGCCTTTATTATACTGTACTAACTTAAATGACACCGTTAGGAGAGTAAACCTTCATTATGATGAATCCTTTGAGCGACGGATGAAGCGTCTGTTGTCTGTTGCACCACGAGAGGGCAGTGAATCTTCACAGAAGCCTGTATTTTCCTCTTAATGTCGATCTGAAGGCCTGCTGAAGCCCAGGACACTTCATATGCAATGGATTAGACTGATTATAGAATTCATAGCTCAGTGCGTGTATATTTCATTTAAACGTGCTAGAAATAGAGCACTAAGTCAAGCATTTAGTGAGTATTTAACCCCGATCCAGAACTCATGACACACTTGTATCTGAAGTCTGTCGCACGGTTTCCCTCGGGCATAAACACACTCATAAGACCCGTTTCTTTCCAAGCACTTCTTTGGCGGCGCTGGTTTTAATCTGAACTAAAAATGTACAAAGTCTCCAAATCCACATGGTTTGAAATCAAAGTGTGGAAATGAGGACGCTTGGCTTCTCACCGGGGCTATTTCAGTGTCTCATATATTCGCATGTCTCTATTGACATCTAATTACAGTAATACCCACCTACACCAGGAATTACAGCAGACGAGGCTCTCGGATGGCAGCTATTACTGTCAGCCGCTGGTGTTGGTGTGCCGTTCTCAGAGAGCGAAGCTAAGATATCATGGCTTGATTCTGCTGTGGAGATGTGTGTCCAATCAGAGCGAGATCTGCATGTTTGGTGGCATCTGAGCGATGCACATGGATGTGGTTTGATGGATGGATGGAGATCCAGAAGAGCGCTTGACAGAACGCCCACTGCTTCTCCAGACGCACACTGATCGCAGATCCTCAGGAATAGTGTGGAGAGAAAACAGACAGATCTCTGGGGTTTTCTAGCTTATTTTACATGCACATGTTATTATATTAACCTCAAGATGTAGTCAAACCAAACATTATTCAGACACCAGATATAATGTTTGATGTTTTTTTTACTAGCGGGTGCAGGACACTAGTTCATTTATGTCAGTGAGGAGAGCAAAATAAAGTAAACTGTGACATATTATACCCAACAATTCTTCATACAGTGGGCTACCAGTGAAATTTGGGAACATAAAATTATTTGGACACATTGACCTGAGCATGTTTTGCTGAAGTGTTTTTCTTTAATTGCTAATGCTCTCTTTACACCACAGACTGAACTAAATGAAGCACTGCTTGGTAATTGGTTGAGCTAAATTGGTTTTATCTAGTTGTGTTCTTCAATTTAACAGCTGACAGCTATTCAACCGAATTCATTATCAAGATGAATTTGTTCTGACACAGTTTAACTGAGTTCTTGTCATATTTTATTACCATTTTTTTTCAACTATAGCGATTAAACTGTGATAATGTGAGAAATGTTGAAGGTGTCTGAATACATTTTGTTTTGACTGTATATATTCTTCAGACTCTCCATTCTGTGCGCTTCATTTCAAGAGGTCATTTCCTATTTTGTTTAAGAGTATCTAGATTTTTAAATTTTTCATGAGAAAATATGAAAAGGTTGCACGTGTAATGCAGTTTCTAAGCGGTTTGGAGTGGTTTTATCATATAGCTATGCAGTTAGGGTCGCTGTGTAGGTGTTTCCTCTGTAGAAATGTTTACATGCACTAATGAATCAAATCTGAATTCAGATTCAGAACGTTCTGTTTATGAACCGTAACGCTGCGATCCAATTCACATATTCATTTACATGCACATTACATGCATTCTGAACTAAACTTCAGCGCATACACAGCGTTCAGAACTGGAGAAAATAGGAAAATGGTAGTTTTTGCCTTGATAGAAATAAAACTGATATATGACAGAATAGATTATAAGCAAAGATTTCCTCCACTGGGCAGTTCATAAGATGTGAATAAACACGGATATTCCTAAGATGTATGTAAACATACTAAGCCTGTCACGCAACTGAATTTTTTAACTAATGAATTACACAATGTGATAATTAATTCATCTAATTAATCACAAATGAACTGCAAATCAATTTGGGCTGAGAACTGACTCCCCAAAAGATCATTTAATGTCGTTATTGTGTTAAATGAGAAAAGCATTGAATTGACATTACAAAAAAGAGGTTTAAGAAATAAATATTTTGATTCAATGTCAGGAAATAAATGTGCAAACCTTCCGAAGCTCAGCGAACCCTGTCTCTAATAGAGCCGTATCCCATCATTCATCATGCTCAGGAACATCCCCCAATCACAAGATGGAAAACGTTGCAGTATGAGTTAATTT